AAAATAATATAGACGTATACATATTCTCAGCTATGATATAGGAACATCCGCCTTATATTACGGCATGAATATATGCGTGCGCGCGTTGCGTTTGTGTGTACATTTGTGTATATACGCGTGTGTTCGTGTGTGTCCGTGTGTGTTCGTGTGTGTGTGTGTGTGTGTGTGTGTGTGTGTGTGTGTGTGTGTGTGTGCGCGTGCGCGCATGTGTGTGTGGGTCCGCGCCTCTAAACATGTACTAGTGACAGAACGGATGAACCGATATGATATCTCGGCGCGGGAAAAGCGCGTGGTGTTTTTTTACAAGAATTTGTATTGTCTGCGGCCATATTATTCTACGTTTTCCATGAACAATGACGAAAGTAGCTATAAACGACGACGACGAAAAGGCTAAAGGGACGAATCGGAGTTGCTGCGCTCTGTACTGAGGCGAGCGATAATATACAAATAAGAACCTAAGGTCTATAATCGCGCCTTTTGTGACAGAAATTTACGAGTCATATTACATATAATGTCATCTACCTACATGTTTCTGTCCTCAGTCATGCATTTTTATTATTACTGTATTGATTATGCTCAAGTTAGAATGACACCGCTTGACCGTGCTACCTCCTTGACGATATTGCGCATTCTTATTTAAATTTTTAAGTTTTCACTTTTAAAACCGGTAGCTAATCACAAATGTGTAATTATATTTATACCTATATCTAGTATTCAGCCGAACGAATTTTTTTTTACGATATTTACATGAATATTCTAACTGAAACTAATGGTGAAATATATAGTATTGCAATCATTATCAATGAACAAATATAAACGCCATCGGTTTTGCCCCCGGCTAATTAAGAAGTTGCTGTGTCTAATTAATAGTAATTGATGCGCATGTAATGTCGCTACCGGCGTTGTAAATGAATGATTATCGTAAGTTTTAAAATAACAGGAACAAGTATTTCATGGAAATATGGAAATATCGAAATTTTTCTGCGTAACATAATAATACATAACAGCCAACTATAACCAAAACTGTGCATTAAACTTAGACTATTCGTCGCACATAGGTTTACGTTATTATGTTCGAATAAATATCTCTTGACCATGAATTTCAGTTATTTGAGTTTATTCGTAACGCACTAGGTATTATTATGACGCAGGGATTATGAACTGTGTATTATGTATTGTCTATTAAGTATGTATTATGTATATGATATATTATGTGTACTTATGTATTACGCGTTCGCCTTACATGTAACTGTTCAATCAATAAAAATATATAGAGACGTCTATAGAACTATCTATACGTATATTATTTCTATGGTTTGATCGTACATTGCTCCCCGTGACGCACTTGAAACGTCATACGACGGACTGCCAGCCGCCTCGCATGTCATAACCCTTTCACTGCTGAATACTTTTTCAGTCGATTTCGGCGATATGCTGACGTGTGCAATTATTTGCTAGCCTGTAACGTAAGAAGCGTTCTTTCCTCACCCGTGATTATCCATCCATGCTAGCTATTGTGTACAGACTGTTTTCTCCCGCTCACGTATAGATCACGTAGCGATCATTGTAGAGGCGCACCGCGCTGCGCGCTCACGACGCCGTAAACCGATTCCACGACTCCCGTAGACAGTCTATATTATACGCGTGATTCTGCTTCACAGTTGTAATATCTATGAATACAAACGCCGGTTACTTATGTTATATTATGTTCTCGTACTTGTCGGTGTCCACTGCACTGGATATAGTGACAAGATAGTGTCTAGGTGACAAAGTAGTAAACTTTGCCCCCCCTCCCCGCTAATGTAATGTAATATAACCGTTCGTTGTGTTTCTGTTCTTCCGTGACATTTTAACGTGATCATAAACGCGATCTTTGTTTACAGTGTTAGGAGCTGTGTGCTCACGCGTGGCGTCTTGTCTTAATGCGTAACAAGTCATGCACGTCTCTGCCGTAACACACACGACATCGGCAATTTCATCAGGCCGCAGGCGGCAGGAAACAAGCGCCAGAGCTCATTAGCATATTTAATTATAGTTAATCGTTTAAATCCCGCGGATTTTACATCTTAGTCCTGTAACACTTCCGATTCGCAGTCGTTAACGAGTTTTAATTTTTTGTACTAATTTTTGTTCTAATTATGTATGTATGTATGTATGTATGTATGTATGTATGTATGTATGTATGTATGTATGTATGTATGTATGTATGTATGTATGTATGTATGTATGTATGTAGATACATACATACACATGTATGTATATATAATATAATGGATGTAGTTATGATCGATAAGGAGCTCATTAGTAGAGTTGCCGATATGAGACAGAGATTGAGCACGATGGTTCGTAATTACCCAGCAGGCGGGGCGTAACCGAAACCACTTACGGACAGTAAACTTTGATTGGGGATAGAAATTACGTAGCTACGCGTAATTGAGTTAGAATTACCCACCGTAATTATTTCTGATATGTTTGCTCTGCGTCGCCTTACACGGAAAAAACTCCAACAGTCTCTGGGCACGTTTTCTCAACGCCACATATTGTAAAAAGATTGAAGCTATTGCCGCACATAAGAAAACGACAATTATGTGTTGATGCTGATACATCAAAAGAACCCGAAAAACATATTGAAGGTATTCGCGAGCAATGACGGAATGCCAGAGACTAGTACTTTTCAATGTGTGTTATATTTACAGGAATGTTATAATACATTTCGAGTAAAGTAAATTTCTAGCTCAAATATTTTTTAATTGCTCTATTTTGATATTCATTCCTCAGAGAGGAGGAAGAAAGGATTAAAATTAAGATTATCTGTTTGTAATGAATACGAGATGAGAAAAATAAATAATATGGACACCTGGAATATTAAGCGTTTGGTCTAACTCAAATCCCTTACGGAAGAAATATTTATAGACGAACGAATTCTAGTATCGCGTTTATAAATCTTCCATTTCTAAGTGTCGATAATGCAGATTTATTCACCTCCACGGAATAAAAGAACATAAACAGTCCTTATTCAACAGCTACAAGGTTACGTTGTGTGCGTTCCTCGTTGGTCCGCCGTTGCTATGACGGCAAGACACAAGTCGTAACTCCTTGACGAGTGCAGACTGAGTGTCTATATAGGAGCCTAACACTCGGTGTTTATTTATAAGAAAGCCTTTCCATACATTTATTTTTTACTTAAAGAAAGACACTGTAGCGATGCTATGCTAGGTGTACCAGTCGCCTTTGCCCCTTCGTCGTGTGTGTGGATGTTGAAATTTATGGTGGATGAACAATCGACGAGAAAATATGACAACGCACATGACACATTGTATAGAAAATCTCTCAGAGTTCATTACGAATCGTAAGTGTATGATAATGCGCGCGTTAAACTCGGCATAAATGAATCTGCCGGCATACTGTGTGCCGACTGCTCCATCTCGTGAAATGCGACGAGAATTATCTCGTGAAATCTCACGAGAATTATCTCGTGGAATCTCACGAGAAGGGTCTGGCAAAAAAACAGTAGGACATTCAAAACTCACGTCGTCAGTCAATGTAAGATGTTTCGTAGTATATTACCAGTTTTCCAGTCGCGGTCGAAACTCTGCTAATGCTGCCTTTCGAATGAATCTGTCACCTGTGCTAGGTATCGCTACTGTTTCTCTTTATACATTGACATACGCGGTATGCATGCTTCTACTGAGAACTCTACATGTACCGCGAATAAAAATTATAGAGTGTAAAAAATTTTCACTCACGCGTTCACGTTTAAATTTAAGCTAAATTTCTCATGGACGAGAATATCGAAGCATTTCGCCGTCGTTCCAAAAGGTGCATAGAACTAAATAGAGCTCCTTATAACAAACCACTGTCACAAGCAAACACGTAAGCGTACGTCTCACGAAACAACGTTGTTTTATAGTTAATTAATGTGCCGTTGGCGCTTGGGCATGACTTCCTCTGGCGTCACGCACACGCACACACACACACACACGCGCGCGCTCTCTCTCTCGCTCGCGTGGTATTCTATTTCTAACTGGTTCCGGCTGGTGAAACTCCGCACGCGACAATCTATACGGATCCGGTGCGGTGTGGAGATGCTGGACTAGGGTTGAAGAAGGCATCTGTGAGTGGCGGCGAGCGATCCACTGGAGGAGAAGGTATATGATTGAAGCTTGCTGCTTCCCTGGTCTATGGGTTAGGCGGCGGCGCGCAGAACGCGCTGCTCATGAGCGAAGCGATCTCTGTTATCAGCTCGTCGCTCGCGCTGTCTCTCTTTCTCTCGCTCGCCGTCGTCTACAATTCCCCAGCGAGCAGCTTCTTGACAAGTAGACGCAGTTCCTTCCTGTCAATGCATTTGTCACCTGAATAGACAGAACACGAGCCTTATAAATATAGATGTATAGATAAATGTATAGAAAGAGAAAGAGAGAGAGCGAGCGAGAGATAGCGCGCGCACGCGAGAGAAAGAGAGAGAGAGAGAGAGAGAGAGAGAGAGAGAGA